ATAAAAAAGCCACATAGCGAAGGCACGTCAGAGTCAGTGAGTCACTTTAGACAGATGTTACCACTGAAAATGAATGAATGTCATTATCCAGCCCTCTAATTTGTCTCTTTGTTTCATTTGGTGTCATTCCAGAGACAACATACAGTGCCACAGGTTGGAAACCACAGCTCTAAAGACAACAACATCTCTGAACATCTTAAAGGTGAAAATTATGTCTTGAAAGGTTATCACTTTCATATACTACTCTTATATGCTTATTCTTATCACAGTGAAGTGATTTGTACATTTAAAAATTGCCTTTTTCCATTATATATAAGCATGTTTCACCAAATTCCTCCTTTGTGTGTATCTTGTGATTTACTACAAATTATGTTTTCTCATTACTTTGTGATGCTGTGGGCACAACACTTCATTCAGTATTAATTAGTAGTCTTTAAAAGGCTTAACTAGTATGATTACATATCCATTAACAACAAGCAAGGACTGCTCAAATGCTCACCATTTAGATGGCTCCTAAAAGTGAATTCAAATGAGATAAATTAAGAAGATGTTCTGGGTTATGTCTCTGATTTAAGTGAATTCCTAATTTTTAGGCCATTACTGTCTGACTCATAATATTGCAGTGTATGTTGGTAAAAATCCAATAAAGATTTAAGACTAACAAATTGAGAGCAGTATGATGATGAAAGGCCAGACAGAAACTGCTGTGAGTTTTGAGGCCAGGAGCTGCTGGTTTAAAGAGCTCAGTGTGACCCTCTTTCTCTTCTACCAGTAGTAGTACACGGTATTTTGATTATATAGTGAAAGGGTCTGCAGGTACTTCCAAGGCCACACAATACACAACAGGAGGTGCTACACACATGCACTCACACACAACCGCACAAATAAAGGTCTACAAGCTCATAAGCAAGATAAAAGTGTATATGGGGCCAGAATAGGGAGCAGAGTAAAGGCTGCCATCTGTTCCCTTGTATGAATATTTCAGTTAGGTGGAAGTCATATTGTATTCATACAGATGGTAGCAGTCACTGCCTGTGATTTAAAAGGTCTTGGTAAGCATTCTTAGTTGATGTTGTCTATTTCTACGTTTTCACATTTGTCCTGAAAAGACCCCCTGAAGTTATGTTCTTTACCTCAAAACATCTCTTAGGATGTGATCAGAAAAAGTGCCAACATACCCAAACCAACTAGCAATAATGTCACCTCTCGGTAAATCTAATACTATAGAAAATAACAGTAATGACTGACTAGTTCAAATCTACTAGTATTTGTAAAGATATCAGAAGCAGTGAGTCATTGTGGACTTGCTTGGTATAAATACAAACAAATAAATGAAAGTAATCATAAAAAGTATCCAACCCAGGGAACAGTGTTACTGTCGTTATTGGTATTTCCCACAATATTTTATATTGTCAAGGACAAAGTTGAAACTTGATTCTTTATACTAAAAAAAGTAAAAAAATAACAAAATAAAGTTCACAAAAAAGTACTAAAAACTGTTGGCTATTTTATATGTTTTGTAACACATTTGTAATGTGTAATAATTGTGATTTGAAACATACTAAGACTTAGAGTATAACTTAAATTACTTAGATTAAATGGTAATCAAAAGTACAAGTACACAACAAAGCTTTTTGATTACACATACAGGAATTACAAAACAATATCACACATTTAAATGAAAATACAGATATGTTTTACTTGTTATAATCATAATTGTTACTCCATTTTTAAAGTCCTGCTTTGTCACATATCACCAGGGGTTGTCAAGGCATTTCCTACTCGTAGAACTCACCTCGAAGCTTCTTACAGTTTATTCCAACAAATAGCAGCTTTTAGAAGCAGCAACTGCTGAGATAATTGGCATATGAGTCAAAGCAGGAGGATAATAGATTCTTTTGGAATTTGATAAAACAAGTAGAACAAATTATAAGCTGGTATTTTATTAACCAACATTAAGGTGGACTTTATTTGTAATGTTTTTTTTATCAACATTTGTGAACAAAAGGACAGACAGGTTGAATGTACATTTACACTACAGCCACATCCTCTTTTACTTTAAATACATCAGTCCAACCACCACACTGGGTGGTCATAGTTAAGCAGGAGGCAAAGACATGGATGTAAGCTTATTCACATTGACTATTAACACATTACATATATCAAACTTGTAGTTGTAATCACAATATGAATTGGCCATGCAGAGGTATACTGTGGGTCAAGGTTGCACAACTTTTCTGAAGATATCCAAGCATATATTATATGTGATCACAAAAATCTTGTACTTTGAAACAATCCATGAATAATAAAATTGTATTTCAGTGAAAACTGACAGTCTCTCTCACTGTTTCTGGGATAAGCCAGTGTAAGTACAAATAGTTTTACAGATAGTGGATATGCATGACAATGTAATGTCCCTCAGATTTACAAATGCCTTTCATCATATTTGACATGTAGTGACTTGATCATAAGAAAGATAAACTCAAAGAGACAGGTTTCCACATGGAGTTTTATATAACATCCTCTCCCATACAATGACGTAAAAGAGACGTCAGTGTCTTTTAACGGGCACTGCTGCAGCTCATGGTCATGGGAAACTGTGATGCGCTCAGCATTCAAGAGCTTCTCTCAGCCTGGCTTAAACCTCACACCCTCTGCATTATGAGCAGTGCAGTCAACATTGTTTCATCTTTAACACTTGAATTCAAAGGGTAGTAAAGCAGGGTGATTTCAACATCAAGCAGCTGGGTGTTTACACACAGAAGAGTCTGGTTGCATTAAGCAGGTTAGACAAAGGGTACAGTACCCTACAGACCCTAAAGGGAAGGACGGAGAAAAAGAAGCTCATCATCAAATTTTCTTTGATGCAGAGACAGTGTGAGTCAAGCAATTCCCACAGTTTTCGTTGTTCATTCTGTGAACTGGGTACACGGTAAATTATCTGTGACAAAACGTGCACCCTCTGGGAATGGCCAATTACCATATAAATCTGGAACTAAGTGTCTCAACAACAAGTGGTAGACATTCATGTCTTGGTAATAAAATTAAATCCGGTTAAAATTAGTTTTCACCAAAGTCATCCAAACAAGTCAGTGTGGCAATTTATTTATATATATATTACTATATTTTTGGGGGTATTTTTTGTCATCATTAGACAGCACCAACGCAGGATCAGGAAGACAAAACATGTTACAAAGGTCCCCTGCAGGATACCCCACGAGTGCTAACTTATGAACAATATTACAATACCATTTGTTATGGATATAAAGTTCTAAGTGGAGCCACAGACCACCAGGAAACAAGGATTGCCATCCGTCATCCATTTATTAATCCAAAGAATCAGTTCATTGTTTTTTTGCTAGGATGATGATTGCCGTGATTAATAAAGTACTTAACAAATGCAGTTTTTGTTGTTGTTGCTGCTTTTTATTTTTCTAGGCATACAATTCTTTTTGAAATAAACAATGTCAATAACTAAACAATCTGAACGTTAATGCTAATAAGAGGAGCATCATACTGTAGTTTCTGCTGAGGAGCTGTGATTGGAAAGCCTGCTGGCCTTTATGACAGTAAAAGAGTGCTATCTAGTGGTAGAAAGAAGGCAAGCTATGTCCAGTAGACGCACTTCTGCATATTGACATCATTGCAGTCGTCACCAAATAGGGCTTACATTGTACTTGTGGCATTTAGATCTTGTGATTCATACTCCTTTCAGTTTGCATAAAT